GCATGTCCAAGGGTCCTAGTTCACGCCACCTACATGAACACGACTGAGATTAGTAAGAAATGTGAGGATGCGGGCATTTACGCAGAAGTTCAGGTGGGGATGGGAAATGACTGACAGGTCCCCTAAGCCTTCAATGCATGGATCTTCCCAATTTTTTCTTCCCTTTTTTTTTTGGGGGGGGAGGAGTTGTATACATGCATGTTACACTAGTTTATTTCATTGTCCTCCTTACTTTTATCATTTAAATAGTGCCAAATTAGAATAAAGCATGATATAACCAAGGAAAAAGATGTTTAAAAAGAAAAAAAAAATGACAACTTTAACCTTTCTCTCTACTCTAAGGGGAATTTTCTTTCCTAAACTTACGTTGAGACTCTGAGGGAGCGATTTTGGTGTGGTGGGAGCTACAGAGCTGGTGGTGATGCCTGTGGGGACAGCACCAGGCTCAGACTCAAGTCCAGGGTGATAGCAGAGCGACGTCTGACCCTGCAGGCCTTCCCCACACTGGCAGAGCAGAGAGAGCTGGAGGGTGCCGGGAACACCCTGCCCCACGTCTGGTGTCACAACACGGCCATCACCAGACTCAACAAAGCAGAGGTCAGTTTGGGAACACTGACTCTTGGCAGAAGTAACCCTGAAGTCATTTTTAAAACTGTATCACAGAATTTGTAGAAAAATTGTGACTTATTTCATAACTAGACCGCCACAGGATGCTGTGCTAATGGTTTTGCTGTTTTTTTGATCGATAGGGCAGGTGTTCATTTCAAGCGTTGGCAGGATGAAATACCAATATTCTAAAGAGGATGCTATAAAGCCACAGAAAACCCAGACCCCTTTTTGAGAGATGGGGGTGTTACTCCAACGGGGACTTTAAGAAATTCATCAAGTGATGATGAATTTCTACCATAAACAACACCAGGCTTCTCTGGGCTGCTTTCAGAGAAGAGAGGACACCCCAGGCAAAGCCTGAGCTGCTCAGTCTCACGTTTCAGGACTAACGTGGAACCGAGTGACTTAAACCTGTGCCTGTGGGTCTGCTGCATCTGACACCGGCCTGAGAAGAGGGGGCCCGGGTTAGATTCCTCGGCCCAGACACACGCTCACAGGGTCTGGCACTTTACTGAGAGCACTTACAACTCTCTGGCTTCAGTGTGGGGAAAGTGTCTGTTTTTATTCCGAAATCAGGTTCAATGGAAATATTGGGTTGTCGGGGAAGCATGGCACAATTAATCAGGTTCAATGAAAATATTGGGCTGTCGGGGAAGTCATGGCACAATTTTTGCATTGAAAAACAGAAAAATATGTCATGACTTTCCTGACAACCTAATAGAAGTAGTTTTTTTTTTTAATCCCTTCTAATTTGCATCCATACAAATTAAGCCAAGTGTCTTTTCCCCCAAATGATCATCTAGAAGGAAAATGTCAATAAAGAAGGGTTTTGACTGCCCTGCGTTCCTTAACGGAGACATTCAAAAAGCAGCTGAGTTTTACACAAGCCAGCCCCCAAGGCCAGAGGGCACATGGCCTGCTGGGTCTTCTATGCCGGTACCTCACACCTGAAGGCAGGCCTGGGCCACTGCCGTCCTGGCCGGTCACACCCTGCACCCTCTCCCTGCTGAGCTCCATGTGGTTCTGAGGGTCGAGACTGGGGTGGGTTTTCCCCGGTGTAGGCCTAACTCCCTTCTTCTTCTTCTTTTTTTTTTTTTTTTTGATTTTTTTTTTTTTGGAGAGGTTTTTGCTATAGGGCGCATGTGCTCGCCAGACAGACAGAGACATAGAGACAGAAAGCGAGAAATCACCCCTCGGGGGGATGGTCACGCCACAATCCCTTCTCCTTCATTCTCCTCTCGGGATCTTGGGCACGCACACACACGCGCCCGGTGTGAGTTTTAAGCCACCGAGTCCGGGACGCAAACCGTGGTCAACTACGTGGGAGTTCAGCGACATAGCCATTACGCTAACTGCTGGTTCCCACTCCCTTCTTATTATTAACTAATCATATCACTGAGGGAGCCAGGAAGGTCTTTCTTCCATGGACGGTTCAGGAAGTCGAGGTAAATGATCACAGAACGCACAGGAGAGGCCAGCACGGGGGTCGGGGCTGGGGCTGGCCTGGCCCCCACACTGCATCCCCACACCTCCATTCAGGGCAGGGCCTAGAGACAGGCTGGCTGGGAACAGGTAAGTGACGTACAGCCCTGCCACCCCAGTGTCCAGTGGCACCTCAGGGGCTGAGGCTGAGGACGAGTTCTAGACCCAGGATGAGTCACGGATATGGGGAGGGCGCTCTCGGCAGAGTCCTGCTGGCATCATGGGAGCCACATGCATGGCTCAGTGGGCACCTTCGGCTAGCCACATGCCAGTGAGGACGCTGCCGGGCATCAGAGCCGGCCTTGCCCAGGCTGAGGGCGCGCTTCCTGCCGGCACTCGCGGGTGACTCAGCTGGGCACACCTCCCACTGTCTGTCTGCAAAGATGTCACCCAGCAGGGGAGTCAGAACACCCTCTCAGATCTCAGGAAAGGCAAGTGGAACCTGCGCTGCTTTCTGCTGTTCACGCATGAGCTGCCAGAGCCCACTTTTAGGTCAGATGACCAATAATCTGAGACCACTCTGTGCGGGCAATCTGGCTTCCTACTGCCTCGGGCGCATCCCCGCAGGCTGATTATTCTGCTCCGAGGGAGAACAGGAGGGAGAAAGAGAGAAAGAAAAGGGAGGAAATGGAGGGAGGAAAAGTGGGCAGGAGGAGGGGACCAAAGAGAAGGAAGAAAGTGGGGGAGAGAGGGCACGTGTAGGACAGGTGCGTGCTGAGCAGGACCGGTGAGCGCATGTGGGGACCCGCCCAAGGTTCAAGACACCAGGAAGAGGGGTCTCAAAAAGTCCACAGGAAACATGCTTTATGACAAGACCACACATGGCCTTCTGGTACTCAACTCGTCCTTTAATTCATTGCCCATGCACGTTCGGGAGTGCCCTGGTACTGGCTCTCTGGAGCACTGCCCGCTGTTTTGTTCTCCTGCCCTGCGGCTCCAGCTGGCTCCCTGCTCTCCTCTGTCCCCACCAGCACCCGCAGCGGGTGCTCCCCAGCCTCCCACGGATGACCTCAGGCAGCCTCGATGCCCCGGGCCCTTCATCCTTCCTCTACCCACCCTCATGCAGAGGTGGGACAGTGGGAGAAGACAAGGAGCTGCAAGGGGCAGAGGGACAGGGGGCAGAGGGCTGCAGGGACACTCACGTCAATGGCGTCCCGCTCGAAGATGCGCAGTTGCAGGAAGAGCTCCAGCTTGACCTTGCGCTCCTGGAACAGCTCCTCCATCTGCGACTGCGCCTCGTCCAGCTGCTGCAGCACCGTCTCGATGTGCGTGATGGAGCTGTTGTGGGGGGCCTTGTTACTGGAGATGGCCGAGTCCCTGTGACGGGTCACAGAGGGCAACAGGACAAACAGGAATCAGATGAGAAAGTCTCACACGGTCAGACCCCAGATAAGGCCCCTCCACGCCGCGGGGGGAAGAGGCTGGCAGGAAGCTGAGCTGCCAGCAGAGAATGGAGCACGCGGCCCTCCTGCAGAATCTCCCTCCTCCAGTGTGCGCTGACACATGCATGCTGAAGAGCTGCTTTGGCATGTTCTGGAAGTCACTCTGTCACTCTTACAAGAACTCTAATAATTACAGAAAATTACTTTGCAGAGCTTTATTTTTAGTCCCTTTTCTCCTTTAGCAGAGAGAATAGATGGTATCTATTTAGGAGTGAAAGAGTCATATAGGTGACGAGAGGTTAACCGTTAACACATCAGTCACACCCTGATGAAATGACTTCTGCCTGTTTGAGCAAGGTGAATGGGATGCCAGGTTATTGTCCACGACTCGGTAAACTGTCCACTGAGCGACACAGTGGGGGCCTGAGGGATGTGCATGGGCTCATGACCCAGGAAAAGGAATTTGCTCCCTCAGGACACAAAACTAGCTCTGACTCTGGCCCCTGCACCAGTAGCCCAGGGTTGGCCCAGGCTATCCTGCCACATATGGGCCTGCCCCACGGGGATATGGTGCCGGGTC